CGATTAAAAAAGTTTCGATTTTTGAACAAATTTTTCGGTTTCAATTTCCCTTATTTTTCATTTTTTTTGGATCGGAGTTGAAATTATGTAAAGATATTTGGAATTTTCAATTTTCAATCTTATTTAATTTTAGAAATTAATTCCAAGATTCCTAGTTCAGGTGACGTGATTTAATATAGGATTTTATACCTCAAAACACTACAACTTATTATATGATTATTATTAAAGAGTTGTGTTATTTCCACCCTCAAATTTTCTCATTTCACCACAAATTTATATAAAATATCTAAAATACCCTTAATAATTTTATTATTTTTGGGACACAATTTCTAATCCACCACCATCATTTTTATTATCAGTCCATCTTCACCACCGTCTTCTTCGTTTAATCTTCTTCCAATTTTCACCAAATCCCATGGCATTTATATGACCTCTATACCTATTTGTTTCCATTCTTCAATTTATCGTTGACGATGAAATAAAAAATTTGTCCGCGGTCCCACTACCACCATTTGTATTATGCGGTCAATAATCAATATAACAGACAAACACAGTCTGCAAAGCTTTCTCTCATCCGCATACAGATATGGCGGCTACAAGAGTGATAGCAGTACCCCATTCTTACACTAAAACTCAGTTTTTTAAAACTCAGTTTTTTTTTTTTTTTTTTTTTTTTTGGGAAAAACTCGGATCTTTAATTTTATCTAGAAATCGAATAATTGTTCACACCGATAATGCTATTCACCTCTAAACTGCGATATATTAATCCCCAATTTGAAAACTTGGAAGAGCGTGAATCAGAAACCCTTGACTTTTTTCTCGGCAATTCATAAAAAAGTAGGCAACATTTACAGAATTTGCATTGCTATAATTGTTAATTGATTTGATTTTGTTATTCTCTCTCTTTTTCTTTTCCTGTGAGTTTCTGTGAAGACGTAGATGATGGAAAATATATAACTAGTGTAGAATTAGAATTAGAATTAGAATGGTGGTGGTGAACGAAAAACGGTGGTGTAAAAGAATAAAAAATGTTAAGGGTATTTCGGTAATTGTATATAAAATTATTTGATGTTTCAGAAATAAGGTGGTGAAATTGGAGATTTTAATGGTGGAAATAGCACATCTCTTATTAAATTAGAAATGTTATTGAGAAATCACACTTGATATTAATATTGATATCAGATTTTAACAATTTTATCCCGCAAGGGATAACTTAATTAGGGGTGTAAACGAGCCGAGCTCGCCTTATTTCGTGAGCTCGAGCTCGAGATCGCTACAACTATACAAGGCTCGAGCTCGAGTTCATTGTGTTTCTAAGGAGCTCGAGCTCGCACTCGAGCTCATATACCAAATGAGCCCGAGTTCGAGCTCGATCTCAAACTCGGCACAACCAAATTTTCATTCAATTAGAAAAGTAATATTTTTTTTTAATTTATTATTAATAAAATCTATTATTATATATTATTAATATGTATTAAAAAATATAGGAAAAAGGTAAAGCTTGTGAGCCGGCTCGCGAGCTGTCGAACAACTGAAATAAGCTCGAGCTCGAGCTTGATTTTTCGAGCTCAATTACGAGCTTTTTTCGAGCAAGCTCCGGAAGCTCGAGAGCCGGCTTGACTCACTTACACCCCTAGGCCTAACGATTGGAGCAAGTAAACTTGCGTCAATTAATCAAAATTTGAATTCCTTGCCAACGGTCGCTAGATCGAGTTTGTTACATATGGTTAGCCTAGTGTGGTTTACATCTCTCGTATGTTTCGCAAACTATTATACGAAAGTGTATATTTACTCAGTGCACCTATATGCTTGGTTGCAGGTTCCTTCAATACAAAAAAAATAAAAAAATAGCGTCCCATCAGAATCATTTACGTCTAATCATATAGTTTGTGAGCTATTATACAAGAGTGTATGTTTACCTAATGTATATATATAATCGGCATATTGATTACAATTAGCTCGATATACAAATTCTCCATCTTTCTTTTTTCACAAGTTAAAACATATATAAATATTTCAATCAATCACGAAGGGGGGAAATAAAACATAGGCTCTATTCTAATTTGTCTAAGATAGGGGCAACCATCGTATCATGCTACTTGATTTAATACATGATTCTGAAGTTAAGTTGTCTCCCTCAAATAATTATATATAGGGAAGCATGTGATTACATTCTAATACAAACAAATAATTTTGATGCAAAGTAGTAGACAATTAATTGATTAATTAGTTGATTATTACAATCTAATCCACCATTATCCATTAGTTAGGCAGCTACTCATTGTTAACTATATGAGGAAGTTTCCACTTCTCCTTCATCCAAACAACAAAATCTTAATATATATATATATATATATATATATATATATATATATATATATATATATATATATATATATATATATATATATATATATATATATATATATATATATATATATATATATATATATATATATATATATATATATATATATATATATATATATATATATATATATATATATATATATATATATATATATATATATATATATATAAGTGCAAATCTAGCACAAACAGCTCATTCATATATTTTGTATTTATACAAAAATAATTATTATAATTATGCCTTCTTTACAGCTACTAATTACCAGGTAGATGCTTTGGTAAATTTTTTTTTTCTTTTCTAACTTCTCTTTTTGATTATTAGTCACTCGAAGTGCACTGGGTAAATTTCAATGTCGTGTAATAACTTGAAACTGTAAATTAAATTAGGCTAACCGTGTCTGATATAAATTCGACTTATAAGGTTTTGGTAAATGAATTCAAACTTGGGTCGAACGACCCATTTGGACGTGGGTCGATGGAACCACGCCCATTTTGAGGGCAGGTCGGGAGGGAGCAAGGCCCGTTTTGGGTATGGGTTCGACAATGTTTATTAAATTATGTATAACTCTCTCATTTGTCGCCAATTTTAGCTGATTCAAGTTGAATAAGAAAGTCAATTTGAAGGGCTGATACATTAATGTTTTGAGTTTTCTTAGATTCGAATGGTAAAATAGTCAAAATCACGTTTGAAGTCGATCTATTGTGAGTTAGGCGGTGTTTGTTCAATTATACATAACTCTCTAACCTAACATCCAATGTAGTTGATTAAAATTGACTAAGGTGGTGTTTGTAAAAACTTTTAGAAATTGATTATGAGCTTTTGTTCTCACATAATTCGTTTTTAGATGTTTGCAAAAACAACTTTTGCTTTTGCTTCTCTTAAAATAAACATTTTTTAAGGTATAATTTGTTAAATATCCATGACTCTGTTTTATCTATTAAAGTTAATTTTCCAATAAATTTACATACACCCCCAATTTTTAGAAATAAACATTTAAAATCAACTTAAAGAACTACAACTTTGATAAATATTTCGCCAAATTGAAACTAAAAGGGGGTTAAAATTATGTTTCAAATTGGCTCATCGTGCTCATTTTGGGCATGTACAACAATTATTCTTTTAAAAAGAAATATATTTCCGTTATAAAATTCATCCCTATTGAATAAAAATATAGTTTAGTTGAAATTTGTCAACAAAGGGGGGAAAATGCATTAATTAATTCAATTTGATTAGAGATTCTGAATTGAGTTTGGGAGATGAGAAAATGAGAACTTTACGGATAAAACAAATAATATTATGGACACTACAAGTAAAATTGAAACAACATTTAAAATCTCTTCAAAAAAATTAATTGTTGGGCCTTTCATTATTTGAGACTAGCCTATTAATATCATTAAATCGACTTTATGCAGGCCCAATATTTTGTTACAAGTCTGCAACCTAACTTTGATTTTTTTTTTTTTTGTTTTTTTTTTTGTTTCAATCATAGGGTTAAATTATGGTCACCTTCCCGAAGTAATGCCAAATTATGAAAAAAACCCTCATAGTTGGGTAATTATAAGTTATAACCATCATTCAACTATGAATCTTCTTACATGTCCACAATTGCGGTGTCAAATTTAGTGGAATCTTCTAGATTATGTAGAATATTCTTCATGTACCCGGTTTATACCATCGAGCTCCACATTTTGAAACAAGATTATCATAAGATGTGTCTGTTGGCTTGTAACTATCAGATTGTGGTGCATCAAAATCTGCGTCTTTGCACAAACCGAGTACAAACTAGAGAACATTCAACTGAATCTCTATATTATGTTGAATTTGACACTATGACGGTAGACGTGTAAGAAGATTCATAGTTGATAAATTGTTGTAGTTAGTAATTACCCAAACAAGAGGTGGTTTTTTGAAATTTGACCTTACCTAAGGAGATTGGTCGTAATTTATCCTAAATCATGATCTAGCAACTATAGGGATTCAATTGGCAACACGGCTCCTTCGACCCTACACCCGGTGATAAACATCGGTTGGGTATTCTGCTGCCACGTGTTTTTTTCTTTCTAAAACCCTAAAGGTAAACCCTAGCGGGAGAATATATTATAAAATACAAAAAATGACATGTGGCAGTAGATGACCAACTCGATGTTTATCACCGGATGTAGGGTCGAAGAAGTCCGGCAACACAAAAAACCAGTTTTTTCTTCTTTTCTTTTTTCTTTTGTTCTATTTCTTTTTTTTTTTAATAAACATTTAGAAAACTTTGACACATGAAAAAAGAAAAATACCTTTTTTTGTTCTATTTCTTTTTTTTTTTTTAATAAACATTTAGAAAACTTTGACACATGAAAAAAGAAAATACCTTTTTTCCTTCTTTAATTTTAGGTATCAGCTAACCTCAGAATTCTGTACTTCTGATTCTTGTGGAATCAAGACAATCTACTTTAATTGCAATTCATAAAAACTGAAATTCCTTCCAATTAAACTTGAAATTCTAATTTTAATTAATTCAAAAAAAAAAAAAAAAAAAAACTGTTACGAAAGTGTACCAAATTTTAATTGCATTATTAATTAATGTAATAAAAATCCCATCATATAGTATATGAGTAAACTATAAAAATACCCTTATATAATCTCAAAATAGCAAAAAAACCCATATGATAAATAAATTAGCAAAAAATCCACATAAATTATTTATATAGCACACTCGATCCATTATTCAACGAACTCTGAGAAAGAAGATACTAAGTTCTTGGCCGGAAGCACCATCCGGATTGATCATGTAAAACGACTCGGAATCCTTTGACCCCATAATCCTCTCGAATCTCGCCCTTATGTACGTCATCTCTCCATCGGCGGCGGCGTCCTTCTCCGGCGACAATCCCGGCAGAACTCCGGCGCCCATGGAAACCCCCCGGAGAAGCTGCATGACGTGGAGCTCGTCCTCCGTCATGTTCTTCCTCCTGATCGAGTACCCCATTTTCCGGCCGTTGCAGTACACCGCCCACACGTACTCTTCCAGAAGCTTCTTCTTCTGCGTCTTCGTGTCGGTCTCCAGGGCGATCCTCAGCACGTCGGAGGCCATCTCGCGGTGGAGCGCCGCCGCCAGGACGGGGAGCTCGATCACGAAGAGCGGCGGCCGGTGCGGGTCCTCCTGTATGGCCAGGCTGAGCCTCCCTTTGCGGTGGCCGAATAGGGTTCCGGTGGTGGCCTTGTCGGCCAGGAGCGGTTTCCGGTGTCGGGTCCCGAGCAGGGCCACCATCTTGCATCCGGTTGTCAGCATGGGGAAGAGTTTGAACATGCGGAAGAGACCTCCTCCTCCGCCGCCGCCGCCGCCACCGGAGCCGGATTTTGATGACGATTTCTTGGTGGTGGTGTGGCGGAGAAGGGATAGTAGGGCGGGGCTTTCCATATGGGTGGAAGAATGCAAGAATGGCATTCTTGATTTTTTTGGATTAAATTAAATATTTATATTATAAATAAATTATTGAGTTTAAGGTTTCAATTATATGGAGAATATATATATTGGGAAAGATGCTCTCTATATAAATGGGGAATGATATGAGGGTTTTTTTTTTCTTTTTTTTTTTTTTGGTTTTTTTTTGTTTAAGGTTTGAACTTTCAATAGTTATGTGGATTGAGATTTGAGAGCACACTATTTTGTTGTGTGTGTGTGAGTGGAATTGGGAGAGGTTGGAGAGAAGCAATGATGGGATATAAGTAATGTGGAAAGCTTTTGGAAAAAGGATGAAAAAAAAGTTAGCTAGTTAGGGTATAGGGCCCCGTACTCGGATATCATTCGCGTAAGTTATATGCTACATCTGCTATTTGTTAACTGTAGATGAGGTTAAATAACCAATCACTAAGTACACATACACATGCCTGTATATGTGTGTGTGTGATTATGTGGAGATCTACAGTTAACAATCGTCCAGTCTTAATAACCGGATGTAGCACTGAATTTCCCTACAACTCGTATTTGTTCCGCCGGACAATTCACTTCCACCTTTAATACTCGAACAATATAATGTTTGAATATCTTTTTAAAGTTGAAAATTAGTAGTTTATGATATAATTTGAATGTCCGTGCCCGCCTATTTAATGACAAGTCGAATATTACCTACTAAATTCGGTGCGGGACGGAGTCGGTACTTAATTGGCATGTCAAATTGTAATTCCTAATTAATTGAAATAATTTGGAGTAGGAAAATGAGAGGTTGCCAACTTTGCTTACCATGGATCTCCAACTTTGCTAAGTTACAGAGCTAATCATGTACAAAGTTCACCTAAGTTCAGCTATGGAGCTTAGTTATATTCAGTGGTTATCTAACATGGAATATTTACATATTTGCAATCACCTCTCCCTCAAATCTTATAGCTAAACAAATTGAATCAACAAAATACGAAGATATGATTTTCAAAACGACTATTATGCGTGAATATAATTATATGTGCGTGTGCATGCGTCACTCTATGTGGTATATGTGTGTGTGCGTGCGTGTGTGCCACTATGCGGGCGTGAGCGCGCGTCTGTAACTGTGTACGGAAGAGTTTCGATGATGACAGCGACGGGGAGATGGAGTGGAGCAGATCGTAACAAAAATCGATGGAGACATGAATAAGAATATATGGATAAATGATTTTCACCAAAATGCCAAAATTTTACTATCCTGATTTGAAAGAGAATTAGTGTCCGAGGTATTTCAGTAAATTGCCACTTTTTAATATTTATATGGTGGGTATATATTATATTATGGAAATTCTTTTGTTATTTAGTAGTACTCTACAAGTGTTGCTTTCTATATGAATATCAAACAAATATATACATGTATAATTACTATCATAGGCTTCATAGCTATAAACGTGTCTACATTTTATTTAGTGAAACGGCATTTAGAACAACCAAATGGAATAGATTCCGTTTCCCAATTTGAGTTAATTGACTCCAAGTCTCTTACAATACCCAATTTACATTATTATTAGTAAAATCTTTGACATCATCATATTTAACAATTTGATGTTTTATCTCATGTTATATATATATATATATATATATATATATATATATATATATATATATATATATATATATTAAAAAACAAAAGGAGGTGGAGAGAGCTAGGGGGGCCCTAAAGTATGTGTAATTAATTTAGTGAGATATATATATAATGTAGGAAAAGGGATCTATAGTTGAAGTTTGATGTTGACAAAGTTTAGTGATGGAAGGAATGGGGCTCTAAAGGTGATATATAAGATAAGGATGGTTTATGGTTTATGGTTCGGACCACAAACAAAGATGTTGAAAGGGAAGAAAATCGAAAAAGCGCGCGCCCCTAGTGCTGGCCTAGCTGGCGGAGTAAGAAAGTTCGATTCCTGTTGCCAATATTTTTTAGGTCAAACTCGTCACACAGTATACATTACTTTCTACGGGAGATTTACATCTCCCGTCGTATAGCTTGTAGGCTATGTATTACTAGATGAGTTTCAGTGCACATTTATGAGTAATTCGATTTCTCCGTAAAATAAAAATAAATTTAAAATTAAAATTAAAATAAAGGGGAAAAGAAGAAGTCTTTGTGGTGGTGCTATTGGCATGTGCATCTCCTCCACATTATTGTAAATTATCTTTATTTGTTTCACAATCAAATCAGCCAAACTCTCTATAAGAGAGAGAGAGAGAGAGAGAGAGAGAGAGAGAGAGAGAGAGAGAGGATGCACCTACAAATACAATACTCTGTCCCTAAACATTTTCAGCCTCTTGTCAATTTCTACTTTACTTTGCCAAACAAGTGATTTTCCTTTTCCATCATTCTCTTCATAATTGCATTTTCTTTTTATTTCTCAAAAAATACTTATCTATTTTATATATGTATAGATAACTATATAACATTGACAAAATTTCCAAGCATTCCTTCATTAATGCATGTTTGGATGGATATAATTAATGCCTCAAAGACTACTTTTATAATTATATCAAATAATTAATTAGGGTTTTTTTAATTCACCCGTTAATATATATATATATATATATATATATATATATATCTTCCTCTTCCGGAAAGGAATTTTAGAACAACAACGAAATTGAATAATTCTCTATTGAATTATGAGAAAATAACACTGAAAGTTGTAACTATATTAAAAAAAACTCATAGATAGGTTTCAAAGTGACTTTAATTTCAACAAGGAAAAATGACTTTTTATTTTTACTTTTCTTATTGTGAAGTTCTTATAAAATAGTTATAAATGTATCATGTATTAAAAAGTCATTAAACAATACTCGTAAAATGCAATGTATGGTTTAATTACAAAAAAAGTATTATTAACCAACCATTAAATTAACAAAATTCATCGAAGA